GGGCACCCCAGCCAGCCCAGCCCAGCCCCCCACCCCCTGCGCGGGGGGGAGCAGCCACCTAAATATCTACACCGACACGCACAGATACAGGTACTCACACACCCACAGGGGACAGGGGATATATGGTTTCTGAAAATTTACAGTGGCTCGTGGGCACGGCAGCACCGACGGCAGATCATACAGTTGCCCTGGGTGCTGGGCCCCCTCCATGGGCACACGGCTCCCCCCTGCTGCCTGCCTGCGGCCAGCCACCGGCGGGAGGGTGCTCACAGAGCCGCTTTGGGGAAGCACCAAAGGGCTTGCCCTGATTTTCAAACCGCCCTTTTCTCTCCGGCTGCACCAGCTGCGGAGCCCCATGCTGAACAGTGACCCCATCACTGCAGCCTGAGCAGGGCAGTTGGGGGGCCAGACCCACTCCTTGGGCCTCGGGCTCAGACATCACCTCTGTATTTATTCCCTTAGCACAGTTACGGGCCAATTTTTTAATAATAGGGTTTTTCTGTTTCTCGTTAATACTCTGCTTTGGCTCCCATGTTTCCCGGATCTCACTCCTGCTGCCTTGTGCGCTGCCTGGGGGATCAAGGCACCCCCGAAAAGCCGGGGCTGCACGGTAACTGTACATTTTGGGCTGGTTTACCCAGAATTAGTGTAAGTGAGCGACAGCTGCTGTAGGCAGGGAAGGTAGGGGGTACCCACAGGCGGCACAGACAGCTGGCTGTAGCCTCGACCTGCTGCAGTCCCCAAGAACTGTAGTGCTAGAAGCATCTACTAATGGGTTGTTTAGCTGTTATAATGATGTATAAGTGATAGGTGATTAGCTGGTAATGCTAATTAGGGCTGGACAGAGGTCGCACTGCAGCAGTGGGAAGGGCAGGGTGCTGGCAGAGCCGCGGGGCTCCCTGAACAGCCTGCCAAAGGGACAGCCCTTCGTCCCCCCTAGGTGACAAGACTGGGTGGCACAGCCCAGAGGAGGGGACATTCTGTCTGTCCGGGGGCCACTACGCTGTCCTCATGTCCCTGTTCACAGCCTGTGGCCAGTAGCCTCCCCAAACCCCTGGGGCATCCCGAATTTGAGCAGAAACCTACCCTTCCTTCTCCCTACCCCCCTGTGGCCAGT